GGGGGAAAGTGGTAGTAGAAGGATCTCTCAGGTGAGGTGTTGTTGGTCAAGGTCAGGATCTTCTTGTGGGGGAGGGGGGTGTTTATCAGTGTCAGGATCTCTCGTGGTGGGGAACTGATTTCTGTGTTGCCTAGGGCAGCACGAAACCTAAATACACCACTGGCCTTGGGAGCTTGCGATCCTTAGTTGTAAGGGCTCAACAGAGTGAAATGCATTAGTGTTTGTACTAGGAGTGGTATGTACAAAGAGGGATCAAAAAACAGTTTTTAAATATGAGGAGCGATTCCCCTTTTTCTCTTTTGGAGCTTTTGTGGACATTCTGAGTAGCCGACGACTACAGGGAACTAGCTCCTGTGATTGGTGGTTGTTTTGGGATCAATGCTTGCAGTGGAGTTCTGGATCTCCTCACAATTATCCTATCTGCGGTTCCATTTTGGTCTGTTAAATTATACTATTAAAAGTATTTTGTTATATCTGTCTGGTAAATGCATAAATAAATATAGACAAAAAATGGCAACCATCCCAACCTATAACCATCCTTAGCAGTAAGGTGCACATGGAAGGGCAATGCACATCGCAAACAAATTATTTCCCAGCAACACTTACCAGCCAGCCTGCAAAACAACCAAAGTGGCTCTAACAGTTTACATTAAAAACAGAGGGTTTTGTTTGCACACATTTCCAAACACATACATAATCCACAGACTCGCGTCAAGGGTCCTCTGTATACTATGGACCCAAATAAAATTTCCAAAGCCTCCATAATAGGAACACATATCAATGGATGGGTTAAGGGCAGGTGTGTCTGGAGGAGCCCATCCCTCCTTAAGCCTGGGTTCACATATATGCGGTGCGGTATATCACGTGATTCGCACAGGAACCGCACCGCATTCCTGTGCAAATCACATGCGATTTTGTGTGCGGTGCGATTGGAGCCATATATTTTGAATGGCTCTAATCGCACCACACCCAAAAACATGCAGGACCCTTTTTTCGGTCCGCACTAGAATCGGATCGCATGGGTATTCACACCTATGCGATCCGATTCTGCACATCACACCGTGTTTTTCGGACCGCTTTCGGGGGGTGTTGATAACTTAACATGCACACCTGCATCGGTTCGCATGAATGGGGTGCGATTATGATGCGGTGTGGAATTCGCACAGAAAAAGCTGCAAATTCCATACCATATCAGTGTGAACCAGGGCTGAAGGTACAGGGACCTGTATAGCTGGATGTCACGTGCATCCCTGGTTTGCTGGCGAAGTGCATGCCCTTCCATGTGCACCTTACTACTAAGGCTAGGCTAGGATAAGTTGGGGCGGTTGCCATTATTTGTGTAGTTGGCTAATTTAGATGCAGGGACGCACTGGATGCCTTTGCTACCATTTTGGTATGGCTGGACGTCACGTGCGTCCCTGGGCTCCTCCAGGCACACCTGCCCTTAACCCATCCATTGATACATGTGCTCCTACTATGGAGGCTTTGGAAATTTTATTTCGGTTCAAAGTATATAGGGGGACCCTTGACCCCGGGAACGTAGCTTACATGTCTATTTGTAAATGTGTGCAAACAAAACCCTCTGTTTTTAACGCAAACTGTTAGACAGGGCCAGATTGGTGGCTTTGCAGACTGGCTGGCAAGTGTTGCTGGGAAATCCTCTGTTTGCAGGATGCAGAAAAATAAATATACCTACTGATCTGCCAGAAATCTAGTGAGCTTATAACTTGTGCTTTCTGCCTCTACTGCACTGTTATCAGTCACATTTTTCTCAGCACTCTGTCTAGACTACACAACAGCTCCCCCATATGTTTTGGGAAGAGGAGGGGGGGTTCTTCAGTTCTTAAGGTGACAATACTGCTGCTGTATACAATGAGTGAGGTTAGTCACAAGTCACCCTAGGAGAGGAAGTGTGTTACTGGCAGGACAATCAGTTGACAATAAAAGGGGAAAAACGAATGCAGCCAGGACATCTAAAGCCTGGTAAGCTGCAATATATTTCATTTTTGTTACTGGGTTTACATGTTTTCTGCAAGCCTGGGCAGTTTTCGGGTATAAGGTGTAGGTACGTTCCTTTTACCAATTACCCGGATGCGGTTGATCGGCCTACTCAGAAAACAAACATCTTCTTAGATTGTAAGCTCCAAAGAGCAAGGCCATCCTAACCCTCTTGTACTGAACTGTATTGCTGTATTGTCTCCCATTATATTGTAAAGCGCTGAGCAGACTGTTGGCGCCATAAATCCTGTATAATAATAATATAATAATAATCTACTGCCAGCTGCAGGAAAAACTTTCAATGGTCCTGCATCCCCCAAATGCAGGGACTGGGGCCTAAGTAGGGACAGGTGGGGTGTGCACAACCCCTATGCAAGTTTCAACTTATGCTCATCAACTCAAAGTCCCCCCTGGAATAGTGACCAGGCTGGCAATGGGTGGAAAGAAAGTACATGTACATCATTTAGTCATATACCTAGTTGAGCCGATTACTTTGTCCAAGTCCGCTTGAAAGTGAGTGGCTGCACTCAAATCTGACCAATCTCTGAAAAAATTAAATTGACCATAGCATAGCAGCAAGCTTGCCTCATAGCTGTGTGTGTGTTTGGAAAGGAAAGAATGGGAAGGTGGTTTATGAGAGGGAGGAACAACAAATCAGAGCAAATGTTCTAATCTGTCCTATTAGTTATTCCTGCTATGTGTCATTATGCAGAAGCCCCTTAACCATTGGATTGTCACACTATTAAAAACAGCTGAGCAACTGCCATCTACGGCTACCCTTCACTCAGAGGATGGCAGATGCTGGAAATTTTGCCAGTTCCCAGTCGCTGTTCCCCAACCCAGACAAACAGAAAAGGGGAACAACTACAACAGCATGACCAATAAAGCCTCATCAAACTTGAATATCTCTGCATGATAACACTTTTTATGTTAGGTCTATCACTCATGTATGTAGCCAAAACTTTATCCATATTGCTTTACAAAGAAAACTAATTTATTCTGTTTATGCCCTGAAGGAGCTTTGAGTTGAGATATACTGCCATATGTACCAGAACGCAGGGGTAAAGTCAGTGTGAGCAGAAGTCAATTACCCTGCCAAATAGTTTTTGGATTGTGGCAGAAGATTAGACACATGGAGGAAATCCATATCACATACATGGGGAGAACCTACACAATCTATGCAGATAGTTCTTGGTGGTTAAGATTGTGGCAGATTAGACACATGGAGGAAATCCATATTGCATACATGGGGAAAACCTACACATTCTATGCAGATAGTTCTTGGTGGTTGAGATTGTGGCAACAGATTAGACACATGGAGGAAATCCATATTGCATACATGGGGAAAACCTACACAATCTATGCAGATAGTCCTTGGTGGTTGAGTCACTGTTGAAAGTCATGAATGCCAACCATTCCTAGATTGTAAGCGCCAAGGAGCAGGACCCTCGAACCCCTCGTATATCGCATTGTATTATTGTACTGTCTCATGTTCTGTCTCCCATTGTAATGTACAGCGCTGAGCGAACTGTTGGCGCTTTATAAATACTGTATAATAATAATAATAATAATAATATAGCCACTAAATGCTGCTTATAGCAATAGGTAAGCCCTGCATGGCATGGTCCTCCTTTTCAAGTTGTCGCAAATGAAACTCAAATTGAGTTTGTCTGTTACCAAGAACAGGCCATGTATAGCTTTTAGGCTGGCAACACAAATAAAGATATCGAATTCTGGTACATTAAGGGTTGAGTTTCAGTTTACATTGAAAGTAAAACTCGGCTTTGTCCACAAAAAAAAAAAAAAAAAAAAATACATCACTTGTCCACACAGGACAAAAAAAAACGTCACTTTAAAGGGTGGCCCCATCAACAGCCTACACTTGCCGTTCTTTTGCTCTAAAACTGCTCCCTCAGGTGCAGGAAATGGAGAGAAAGCACTGTTGGGCTTTGGAGCTTCCATACAGTCCAGAATTCTCCTCTTGAACCTATATGACCGCATTGGGTGTCAGAGCCCAGTCGCCAATCATCAGCCCCATTTTGCAAGGGAAAGGAAACAAGCTGCGTCCTTAGGCACTCTGTGCTGTCGCTTAGGAATGAAACCAGTCCAGATCCTTGTGGAAGCTAGATAGCACAAGCCTTTCCTTTGCAACACTGGTAAAAAAAATATCTTTGCATGTATTGTCTGCATGTTTATCTATAAAAATAAAAAATTGTGGTAGCACATTTTTGGGTGAAAGCTCTAATAAACAGAGAATATGGGAAGGTCAGGTAAACTGAGCTGTTCATGGGAGGGCCTGATCTTCTGCCATTCTCCATCATCACTCAGCTCTTGTTGGAGCTCTCAGAAATACTGGAGTATGGGGGAACCCTGTGCCCTTTTCCCCCTTACTCCCAGGAAGCAGTGCTCATGAGCACCCAATATTCAAGCCTGAAAGAAGTCACATGGGAGTGGAGAAGGTCATCAAACCATGTGTAGCCCAACCTTTTTTTTTTTTTTTTTTTTTTTTACTTTGAATAGAGTTGGAAAGAATTTATTGCTGTCTTTCTGTTGGCTAGATTCATCCTATTTGTTCTGGGGACCATGGTCAAACAGACAGAAAGACGGAAAAACCAAACATTTTAAGGTTGTCACCAAAACAAGAGGTAAGGGTAAATCTTCCAATCCCCTGTTCCAATGACAACCAACCGCGAGAGGGTTTCCCCTCATTTTGTAGAGTTTTCATCTCACTTGCTGTCAAGTCTTTTGGACAGGAAGTGATGAAAAAGTAGACCCTGGCAGAGTATCCCAAATCCCTAAAGTATGCCGCCTCGTACTGTGCCAGCACGCCTTCCCACAGGATTTGGGTTCTAGTGCACTGGGGTTGGGGTGAAGGGTACCGTTTACTTTTTTTTAGTTTTTTTTTCTCATTTCAGCTTTACGTTGAAGTTTTTAATTTGTGGAGGTGGAGCTCTGAGAAGATGTTGTCTATTCCTAGTTGTAATTTATCACGACATACTTACATCTTTCAGCTTCTTCACCCAGGGTTTTTGAGCTTTACTAAATCCATCCTCAGCTTCCTTTGTTTCCCGAAATCCTCCAATCATCTGCTTGTGAAAGGCCTCCTTCTGCCAGTCTCGCACCTTCCCACCGTCCTCGTCCCACAGCTGATTCCGAAGCTCCGTGTGAATCTCGCTGAGGGCATCCGCAGCTGTAAGGAATGCCTGCCAAGCCTTTTCCAGTGTGCCATACTGAGGGCCTGCAGGGCAAAATGAACCAACAGGGGTTAAAGATCTTCAATAAAAATAAAGACATTCTAACATTCCCATTAGCAAGTGGCCTGCTGAACATCTGATATATACCTCATGTCTGTCATCGTTATTTTCGCCTGGAGACAATTTAAGCTTTCGTGTGTGTGTGTGTGTGGTAGGTCATTGCTAAGAAAAGACCTCCACTCCTCTGAGGTCTTGGTGAGCCAGCAGAAGTAACAGATGATGTAATCTAAACCCCTGCTGATTGGCTGATGGCACCAAATCCTCACCACTAAACTGCAGGGTTAGAAAATTATCTGGGTGTGAAACTGAACTCATTCAACACGAAAAGTAATTATTTTTTCCTCCAAAATTCTATCAAAATGCCAAAGATAAAAGGAAAATGCAGAAGTTAAATTGTGAATCTTAGTCAATATGTCTTTGCCAACGAATTTCAACTAAGGACATTCCTATGGAGGTTTTTTTTTTTTCTTTTTAAAGCTAAATTTTAGGCTTGATCCTAATTGCTTCAAGTGATTCAAAAAGCTTAGTTATTCACTTACCTAACGGGCACTTTTCCCCCTTTGTGCCCAGACAAATTTTCAGCCTTCAGCATCAGATGCAGAGATGTGACAAACCAATTAAAACTAGAAGGGGTGCTTACAATGATAGGCTGTATAATACTGTATAATAATAGGCTGTACTTTTATGTAAAACCTTTATCCAAAAAAAAAAAAAAAAAAAAAGAAGGACTGCTGTAACTGCTTATAAAGTATTAGCTGGAGTTTGGCTGCAGTTTGTTGTATATTATTGTGTATTTAAAGAAGAATCTGGGCAGAATCTGTATTTAACCACTTGCCTACCAGGCACTTTTACCCCCTTCATGCCCAGGCCAATTTTCAGCTTTCAGTGCTATTGCACTTTGAATGACAATTGCGCAGTCATGCAGCATTGCACCCATATGAAATTTTCATAATTTTTTTCACACAAATAGAGCTTTCTTTTGATGGTGTTTAACTGGCAATGGGGGTTTTATTTTTTGCACTATAAACAAAAAAATAGCAAGAAATTGGAAAAAAAAAGTTTTTTTGTTTATTATAAAATTTTGCAGACAGCAATTTTTCTCCTTCACTGATGTGCGTTGATGAGGCTGCACTGATGAGGTGACACAGATAGGCAGTACTGATGGGCATTGATAAGGAGGCACTGATGATGCTGCACTGATATGCAGCAATGATGGGCACTGATGGGCGGAACTGACAGTGCCGGGTGCAAGCTGCTGGGAGGATGTCATGACGCCCTCCCAGAACTGGACAACCGATCTGAAGTAGTCAGTCATTCGGCTATTGCATGGTTGTAAAGTGGTTAAAAAAAAAAAAAAAAAACACACCAAAACATGTCTATACTTACCTGCTGAATGCACTGGTTATACACAGAACAGACCAGATCCTCCTCTTCTCAGGTCCCCCACCGGTGCTCCTGCCCCCTCTGTTGGGTGTCCCCAAAGCAAGCAGTGTGCTATGGGGGGGCATGTGCTGCTCCGTGTATCCATTCACACACGGAGCCGAGGCTTGGCCCCGCCCCCTCACTCTTCTCATTGGCTCACCGGCTGTGATGACAGCAGTGACAGTCAATGGCTCCTGCTGCTGTCTCAGCTAAAGAGGAGAGGGAGTCCTGGGATAGCTGATAAGTATTAATCAAGACCTGGAGTTCACAATAGTGCTTGAGATTGCCAATCACTTCAAAAACAAGATTGACACAATTCGCAAGGACATTACCGCAACTCACACGCCCTCTCAACCCGTCCCCTCTCACACAGCTACCCCCTTATCCCCCCTTCCCCTCGACATAACCTGCAGGGACTTCGTCACTGCTCAAACTCTCTCCAACCCCCTTCACCCTCACTCAGCTACCCCCTCATCACCCCTCTCCTACGGCCCCACCACTGCTCTGACCTCCTCTTCCACCCCACCCTACATTCCTCATACTGAAGCTCCCCCACAACACTCCGCACCTTTGACCTTACTACCATCGAGGAAGTCTCCAAGATCCTCTCTGATGCCCGCCTCACCACCTGCCCCCTCGACCCTATCCCCTCACAACTCCTACGACCTCCTTCCCCCTCCATCCTACGCTCCCTCACCCACATCTTCAATCTCTCCCTCTCCTCCGGCACTTTCCCCTCCCCTCTGAAACATGCACACATCACCCCCATACTTAAAAAGCCCTCCCTGGACCCTAATGACCCAAACAACCTCAGACCCATCTCCCTGCTCCCATTTACATCTAAACTCCTCGAGCGCCTAGTCTACACCCGCCTATGCTCTCACCTCAACGACAACAACCTCCTCGATCCCCTACAGTTCGGCTTCCGTCCCCTACACTCCACCGAAACTGCCTTACTCAAACTCTCCAACGACCTGCTAACCGCCAAAGCTAATGGCCACTATTCAGTGCTCCTACTCCTTGACCTCTCTGCGGCCTTCGACACAGTCGACCACCCCCTCCTCCTCAAAAAACTACACTCCCTCGGCCTCAGAGATTCTGCTCTCTCCTGGCTCTCATCCTACCTGTCACAACGCTCCTTCAGCATTACCTATAATGCTACCACCTCCCCCTCACTCCCCCTCTCTGTTGGGGTCCCTCAAGGCTCTGTCCTTGGGCCCCTTCTCTTCTCCATCTATACCTCCTCCCTTGGCCAACTCATACACTCTCACGGCTTCAACTACCACCTCTATGCCGACGACACACAAATCTATCTCTCAACCCCCCACCTCACCCCCTTGGTCTCAGCCCGAATCACACACCTACTGAGCAACATATCAGACTGGATGTCACTCCACTTCCTTAAATTGAACCTCTCCAAAACAGAGTTTCTTGTCTTCCCCCCAGCCCGGACACCACCCCCCATTGACTTCTCCGTCACATCCAACAACGCTACCATCAAACCCGCCCCGCAGGCCAGAGTACTGGGTGTCATTCTGGACTCCAACCTATCCTTTCAACCCCAAGTCCAATGTTTACAAACTCGTGCAGACTCCACCTCCGCAACATCGCCAAAATCTGCACGTTCCTAACCCCAGAAACCACTAAACAGCTCATCCACTCCCTCATCATATCACGACTCGACTACTGCAACTCCCTCCTCACTGGCCTGCCTCGCCGCTGGCTATCCCCGCTTCAGTCGATCCTGAATACGGCTGCTGCCAGACTCATTCACCTTTCCAACCGCTCCATCTCCGCCACCCCCCTCTGCCAATCCCTCCACTGGCTTCCGATTGCGCAACGGATCAAATTCAAAATCCTAACGCTAACGTACAAAGCTGTCCACCATACTGCCCCGAACTACATCACTGACCTAATATCCAAGTACCGCCCAACACGCACACTCCGCTCCTCACAAGACCTCCTTCTCTCTAGTTCCCTGGTCTCCTCCTCCCATGCCCGCCTCCAGGACTTCTCCAGGGTGTCGCCCATCCTTTGGAACTCCCTGCCCCAACCCATCAGATTATCACCTACTCTCCTCTCCTTTAGACGCACCCTGAAAACCCATCTCTTCAGGGAAGCCTACCCCACCCCCTGCTAACTTGCCGACCTCCTCCACTCTTTCCTACCACTCCATCCCCCACAGCTATCTCCTCCTGTGCCACTATCCCCTCCCTCCTAGATTGTAAGCTTGAAAGAGCAGGGCCCTCGATCCCCTCATGTTTTGCATTGTATTGGTATTGTTCTGTCACATGTTCTGTCCCCCTTTGTAATGTACAGCGCTGAGCGAACTATTGGCGCTTTATAAATACTGTATAATAATAATAATAATAATAATAAATAATAATAATAATAATAATACCCTATGCTGATATGTGTGTTTTTTTTTATAACCATAGACTGTACTTGCTTTAGATTGCTAGATTGGTCACATTTCTACTGTTACATTTTTAATAAATTAATTCTAATCATGAAAATACAGAAAAAGGATTTGATTGGCTGCTGTGAACAGCCACGTACCCTTCTCCAGGTTGCTCTTCCACTTGCGGCTCCAGTCAGTCAGCTGCTGGGAATAGGCCTTTTCTATTTTGGCCCTCTCTCTGAAGCAGGTGACCAAGTCATTGCATAGTCTGTTCCCATCTTCAATTCGTTTCACCGTGCGCCGATAATTACCAGCCTGGATAAAGAAGATGACAACATAGGGGATTCATTTATGTCAGAGCATGAGAAGAGAAATAATTAGCAGTTTTCCACAGCAACTCGATTCCGTTTTCGCTATGTCAAAAATAAGGACTAACAATTTTTTTTTTTTTCCATTGATTTCTGCATTGTGCCTCTTTCGTTAATGTATAAATGTCACAATCATTTATAGCAACAAATACATTTCACATATATACCAAAACGTCGGGGCGGAAAAGGAAGGGCATTCAAGAATTTGACAATGACCAGCTTAAAGTGTACCTAAACAAAAGAACAAAAATATAATATTTTGCAACATACAAGTCCTTAGTTGAGATGGCTGCAATTGTTTCTAATCTCAGGCACTCTGCCTTTAATTTTCTCATGGTGATCCTACCATTAACAGACTTCCTGTCCTAGGGTGACAACACTAACTCAATGTACTGTAGCAGTGTTGTCACTCGAGGACAGAAAGTGCGTTAGGACTGCAGCCTCTTCCTCTACCCTTGTCTCCATAACAAAACTACAGCACAAGCAGAGAGCACAGGATGTCCCTTATAAATCATAAAAAGTATATATAGTTTTAATTATATAGTCATGGTAGGTAGGAACCTATTAAATACAGGCATACTTCAGGTTACGAACGCCTCAGTTAACTTAATTTTCGGTTTACGAATGAAAATCCATTGAAAATAAAGGCTTGGTTTACGAAATTTTTTCGCAATACGAACAGATTAATTGGTTTTCAATGCATTTACACTTTTTTTTAATCATGTCCCTGTACAGTACAATACGTTTAAAGTACACTTTATAAGGAGTTTTGAACGGAAGACTAACTGACCTCCAGAACGGATTAATTGGTTTTCAATGCATTTACAAAATTTTTTTTAATCATGTCCCTGTACAGTATTATGCCTTTAAAGTGCACTTTATGAGAAGTTTTGAACAGATAAAACTTATTTTTAAATTTTCCTGACTTCTGGAAAAGATTAATTGGTTTTCAATGCATTTATAAATTCATTTTTAATCATGTCCCTGTACAGTATTTATTCCTTTGAAGTGCACTTTGAGCTGATAAAAGACTTTTCTTTACTTTTTTCTGACCTTCGGAACGGATTAATTGGTTTTCAATGCATTCCTATGGGAAACTTTGTTTTGGTTTACAAATTTTTCGCAATACAAAAAGTCCCGCAGAATTAATTCAATTCGTCAACCGAGGTACGCCTGTATGCATTTTTCTGCTCCCTGTTTAGCAATTCTGCACAATTTCTTGTCCTTAGGTGACAAAACACACTCATTGTGCTGGAGGTGTATGGGAGACGCAGCATTCTCTCCATGGGACAAAAGTGTGTTAAGACTATTGGCTCCACCTGTTATCTCCAGAACATAAAGGGGAGCTTTGTAGTCCACAAAGATAGCTGGGAACAATGTAAATAAATTCCGTCAGCACAGGTTGAGCACAGCTAATATTTGGTTGCCTTAAAAGGATAAGTTCACTTTTTGTAACAGGTTACGTTGCAACCATATTCAGGGTGTAACATGTTATGAACGGACCGGCCCCTGCTCCTCCCCGCTTTCATTGTGACTGCTAGCAGGGGATTTTTCCTGCCCACTAGATTTCACAATTTAAAATTTCCAGCTAATTGACAGCCTCAGCTCTATTCCTCTGTGCTGTGTGGGGGGGCTGTCTCTTCCCTCCAATCAGCTTTTAAAGCTTGTCACACTGAACTGTCAGTTCTATACACCCTTTTTTTTTCTTACAGCTCAGACAAGCTTTATACATTTTGGACTTTGAACAGATGTAGAGAAGAGAAGACTGCAGATAACCAGGTGCAACTTAACACTATATTGCCAAAAGTATTGGGCTAGCCCTCCAAATCATTGGATTCAGATCATCTCCATGACCACAGGTGTATAAAATCAAGCACCTAGGCATGCAGACGGCTTCTACAAACATTTGTGAAAGAATGGGTTTCTCTCAGGAGCTCTGTGAATTCAAGCGTGGTACCGTGATAGGTTGCCACCTGTGTAATAAGTCCATCCGTGACATTTCCTGGCTACTAAATATTCCACAGTCAACTGTTAGTGGGATTATTACAAAGTGGAAGCAACTGGGAACAACAGCAACTCAGCCACCAAGTGGTAGGCCATGTAAAATGACAGAGCGGGGTCAGCGCATGCTGAAGCGCCAACTGTCTGTAGTTTGGCCACATTTCATCTGGCCTTCAGATTAGCACAACAACAGTGCGTAGAGAGCTTCATAGAATGGGTTTCCATGGCCGAGCAGCTGCATCCAAGCCTTACATCACCAAATGCAATGCGAAGCGTCGGATGCAGTGGTGTAAAGCACGCCGCCACTGGACTCTAGAGCAGTGGAGATGTGTTCTCTGGAGTGATGACTCGCACTTCTCTGTCTGGCAATCCGATGGACATGTCTGGGTTTGGCGGTTGCCAGGAGAACGGTAATTGCCTGACTGTATTGTGCCAAGTGTAAAGTTTGGTGGAGGGGGGATTATGGTGTGGGGTTGTGTTTCAGGGGTTGGACTTAGTCCCCTAGTTCCAGTAAAGGGAACTCTTAAGGCGTCAGCATACCAAGACAATTGTGGACAATTTCATGCTCCCAACTTTGTGTGAACAGTTTGGGGATGGCCCCTTCCTGGTCCAACATGACTGCGCTCCAGTGCACAAAGAAAGGTCCATAAAAGACATGGTGAGCGAGTTTGGGGTGGAGGAACTTGACTGGCCTGCACAGAGTCCTGACCTCAACCCGAAAGAACACCTTTGGGATGAATTAGAGCAGAGACTGTGAGCCAGGCCTCCTCCCCCAACATCAGTGCCTGACAAATGTGCTCCTAGAAGAATGGTCAAACCTTCCCATAGACACCCTCCTAAACCTTGTGGACGGCCTTCCCAGAAGAGTTGAAGCTGTTATAGCTGCAAAGGGCGGGGCCAACTCAATATTGAACCCTACGGATAAAGACTGGGATGTCATTAAACTTCATGTGTGTGTAAAGGCAGGCCGACCAATGCTTTTGGCAAAATAGTGTATGTGGGAGGATTTGTTTCATCTCTGTGTATCACCTGGGACCAGTCACTGCACTTGGTATATGTAAGGGTATTACAAACATTTTAAGCCACTGAACATAACGGACTACAGCCTACTACACACTATGAGAAAATCAGACGAACAATAGATTTTTCACAAAGGTGCATACTAGTGTAGAAGAAGAGGAAGTGTAGGGTCGTTCTTAGCTTTATGCATGTTTTTTTTCTATTCAATCATTTACATATGATCACGGTTTGCATTGAATAAAAATCAGACATTGTGTTCACATACGATAACAGATTTCTAGCTTGCATCCTCGGTCCTCCGAAAAGTTTAAATTGGCTGTCGAAAACACTATACTAACGATCGGATAATTGGCTGATCGCTCCTCATACGTTTGACTTTCTTATGGTGTGTATGGACCATAGGGGTGTCATGTCTCTTCTAACACAGCAGTGGTGTACCCCTATTCACTAACTACAGTCTGTGTAATCTTATCTCCCTGCTAACCAAGTCTCTTTCACAGCTGTAGAATAATGTAGAGAAAGGGGATTCTTTTTCTCGTGACAAGGTTGGAAATGGTAATTTGAAAATGTCATTTTTTTTTTTTATTTCCTTATTAAAAAGAAACACAAGGTGCAACAGACAATAGATAATCCTTGTGCGATCTGACCAATAAGATCAGGAACCTTAATATGTATGGACATTGTGTAACCCACAGGTGTCAAACTGGCGGCCCTCCAGCTGTTGCCAAACTACAAGTCCCATGAGGTATTGCAAGATTGCCAGTTACAAGCATGACTCCCAAAGGCTGAGGCATGTTGGGACTTGTAGTTTTGCAACAACTTGAGGGCCGCCAGTTTGATATGGGTCACCGCTTTTTACAAATAGCAAAATTAAAAAATTTTGAAACAGAACTGGACCTAAATTATTATTATTATACAGGATTTATATAGCGCCAACAGTTTGCTCAGCGCTATACAATATAAGGGAGAAATTACAACTACAATACATTTCAGTACAGAAGGAATGTGAAGACTCATGGAGCTTACAATCTAAAGCAGGGGTGGCCAACCTGCGGCTCTCCAGCTGCTGCAGGACTACAAGTTCCATCATGCCTCTGCAAGTCAGTAACTTCCCATCTTTGCAATGCCTCATGGGAAATGTAGTTCCACAACAGCTGGAGAGCCACAGGTTAGCCACCCCTGATCTAAAGGAAGGGGGAGATGATACAAAAGGTGATAGCTGCTGGGGATGATCTGGTGGAGGTGATTCAAGGACAGTTCTTAGGTGGAGGTGGGGTAGGCTTCCCTGAAGAAGTGCGTTTTCAAAGATCGCCTAAAGGCAGACAGGGTGGGGGCTGACTGAACATGCTGTGGTAGGGAGTTCCAGAGGATGGGAGAGGCTCTGGAGAAGTCCTGGAGGCAAGCGTGGGAGGAGGTGATGAGAGAGCTAGAGAGGAAGATATTATGGGAGGAGCAGAATGGGCGATTTGGTCAATATCTGTGGAGGAGGTCGGTGATGTAGCTAGGGCAGTGTTGTGGATGGCTTTGTAAGCTGTGGTTAGTATTTTGAATTTTATACGCTGGGTTTGTGGAAGCCAATGAAGGGATTGGCAGAGAGGGGCAGCAGTCACTGATCGGTTGGTAAGGTGTAGGAGTCTAGCAGCAGCATTCATAATAGACTGAAGGGGGGATAGCCTGTGTAACGGTGGACCGGTGAGGAGGGGGTTGCAGTTATGGAGGCGGGATATAACCAAGGCATGAATAAGTTGTTTTGTGGCGTCATTGGTCAGGAAGGGGCGGATTTTGGAAATGTTCGGAGGTTGAGGCGGCAGGATTTAGCCAGTGAGTGGATGTGGGGCCCAAAGGAGAGGTCAGAGTCTAGGATTACGCCTAGCACCCTGGCATGAGGGGAAGGACCAATGGTTGTGCAGTTGATCTTAATGGTAAAGTCGTGAGTGGGGGATCGGGGAGGAGGAAATATTACAAGCTCAGTTTTGAAAGATTGAGTTTGAGGCAGTGATGTGACATCCATGCTGATATGTCGCTTAGTAGATTTGTTATACGTGAGGAGATTGAGGGGGTGAGCTGGGGAGTGGAAAGATAGATGTGGGTGTCATCAGCATAGAGGTGTATTGGAAGCCATGGGAGGTTATCAGTTGGCCCAGGGAGGAGGTATAGAGAGAAAAGGAGGGGCCCAAGGACAGAACCTTGGGGTACCCCAACAGAAAGAGGAAGAGGAGCGGAGGAGGAGGAGTTATATGTGACACTGAAAGTGCGCTGAGAAAGGTAAGAGGAGAACCAGGAGAGAGCAGAGTCACGGAGGCCCATGGAGTAGAGTTTACTGAGGAGGAGCGGGTGGTCGACTGTGTCAAAGGCAGCGGAAAGTTCAAGGAGTATGAGTATGGAGTAATGGCCATTGGTTTTAGCAGTTAGTAGGTCATTAGTGAGTTTTAGTAGGGAAGTTTCTGTGGAATGTTGTGGGCTGAAGCCAGACTGTCGGGGATCAAGAAGGTTGTTGTCGGTGAGGTACCAGTTCATACGGCTGTGTAGAAGGTGCTCGAGAAGCTTGGAGGCAAACGGGAGCAGAGAGATGGGTCTTAAGTTATTCAAACAGGTGGGGTCCAGCGAGGGTTTTTTGAGAATGGGGGTAACCAGTGCAAGTTTGAGTGGGGAGGGAAAGGTGCCTATGGTGAGTGAGAGGTTGAAGATGTGGGTTAGAGAGTTTAGGATAGAGCAGGAAGGAGGCTGCAACAGTCGTGAGGGGACAGGATCCAGGGGACAGGTGGTGAAATGGGCCCTGGAAAGGAGATTGGTAACTTCCTTGGAGGAAACAGGGTCGAAGGAGGAGAGTGTTGAGCCTGGTATATTGGTTAGAGGAGGAAGCTTGGCTCTGGAGATCTCATCACAAATTGTGTTGATCTTCTTGAAGTGACTGGCAATCTCCTGTAAGTAAGTTGGTGGGTGGAGGCAGTGGGGGGTGGAGTAAGGAATTAAGGGTAGAGAAGAGTTAACGAGGATTGGATAAGGGGGTCTTGATGAGAGTGTTCCAGTAGGTTTGCTTAGCAGCGTGGAGGCTGGAGTTGTATTTAAGAGCGGATTTGTAGAGGGTAAAGTCTTTCAGGGATTTGGTTTTACGCCATGCTCGCTCAAGAGTGCGGCTGCGTCTCTTGAGACTTCTGGTGTCATCTGTTTGCCAGGGTTGAGACAGACGAGGCCTGGTTCTGCGTGTAGAGAGAGGAGCAAGAGCGTCCAGGGAGGATGATAGAAAGTTGTTGTAGGCAGATGTGGCCAGCTCTGGGCAGGACAGGGGTGCAATTTCATCATAGAGGCGCTCAGTAGCGGAGTGAAGAAGGTCAGGGCTGAGGTGGTGGAGGTTTCTACAGGTGACGGTTTGCAGGTTGGAGGCATGGGGGGTAGAAGGCAGGGAGAGTGTAAAGCTGATAAAGTTGTAATCAGAGAGAGGAAAAGGGGTGTTAGAGAGGTTACTGGGAGTGCATACGTGGGTGAATACAAGGTCAAGGGTGTTGCCATTGCTGTGGGTGGTGGATTGTGACCATTGTGTTAGGTTAAAAGAGGAAGTTAGGTTGAGTAGTTGAGAGGTGGAAGGAGTGTGAGCATTGACTGGAATGTTAAAATCGCCGAGGATGGCACCTCAGAGGAGAGAAAGTACGGTAGCCATGCTGAAAAGTCATCGAGAAAGCATGAAACTGGCCCCGGGGCTGGTAGATGGCTGCAATCCTCAGACAAATGGGAGACAAGAGACGAATACGGTGCATTCCGAAAGAGTGGGGGGACAGACAGGGGGGCAGGAAGAACCTGGAACGTGCATTGTGGGGAAAGAAGTCAGACTCCGCCCCCTTTTCGTCCACTGGGTCTCGGCGAGTGAGTACAGAGGAGGCCGCCATGGGACAGTGCAGCTGAGGAGACAGAGTCAGAGTCCTGGAGCCAGGTTTCAGTAACAGCAAGAAGGTTGAGGGGCGTGGGAGAGAAAGAGGTAATTGAAATGCTGCTGCACTGCATGCACCCTCCTGCAAAACGTTTACAACACTCCCCTACTAACAGTCTGGCTCCTCCAGGCTGCTAGGCTAGAGTCACAGTGGGGGATCATGTGGCAGCCTTCAACCAATCAATGGCTCTGCCTGAACATACTTCCTGTCTGTTGACCATAGCCCCTTGACCCTCTAGTGGCAGTCAAGATCTAGACGCCACAGCTAGAAGGGGCTTACAAGGATAGATTTTGCCTAATTCCCGGAATTCAGCTTTAAAGCAGCGCGCTGAAATGAAGGTGCTGCCAGTGCACCTGAATGTGCTGAAAATCGGGCGTACACCATTTTTGGCAGTATATATATATTTCTAAAGAGGTGCTACAGACAAGAGATCAACCTTGTACAATCTGACCAGTTAAAATAAGATCAGGAACCTTAACATGTATGGACACAGTGTAACCTTATGGGTCACCGTTTTTTTGCAAATAGCAAAATGAAAAAATTTAGCCACAAAATTGGACCTAAATGCTGCACTGCATGATCCATTCTGCAAAACATTTACAAATACTCCCCTACTATGGACTGTTAGACGCCACAGCTAGAAGGGGCCTACAGCAAGGGTAGATTTTGCCCAATTCCTGGAATTCAGCTTTAAAGCAGCACACTGAATTTAAGGTGCTGCCAGTGCACCCTAATGTGTTGAAAATCGGACATGCACCATTTTTGGCAAGGCGACGCTCAGCAACGACGTATCACATTTGCACTGTAGTTCATTGAGCGGTCAATAAATTGCACCACAATGCAGCAACGCATGTAACATGCAATGCAAGGGTGTAAATTGGCCCTGAGAGCAATTAGCATGCATTTTCAGCATCTCCCCAACTGCCAAGTAAGATGAAGTGTACAGAACCTCGTGACTCAGTATACCAGCCTCCCTTTTTTTTTTTTTGCTATTGCATTGTGGTGCCCAAAACACTCCATGCAAACCTATTCACCTGTAACAAACCAATACTGGGAGCTGAAAACAACCTGCACTCTTCTGGATCCAGTGCCACAAGGATCATGACTTCATAGTGCAATAATACCATGAATATTCTTCGATTGTAAGCTCTAACGAGCAGGGCCCTCTGAGTCCTCCTGTATTCATTTGTATTGTAATTGGACTGTCTGCCCTTTTGTTGTAAAGCGCTGCGTAAACTGTTGGCGCTATATAAATCCTGTATAATATATGAATAAATCAATCAGATACATATAGCCAAACACAATGCTATTACTATCCAGACTGCTCGGGTATTTATGACCCGACTTAGTCCATCTGCGCTTTGGCTCAGCTCGTCCAGAATGTTCAGCGGTGTATAGATTGTGTGAGCGGTGTCTGCTTGCATAAAGCGTTATTCCTTCACCGAAGGATGAGGAGGAAAAAGTCTGCAGCACTCACCTCCCAGAAGCTGCCGCTGGCAGGCCCCCCTCCCTCGTCTGTCATTACCGCGGATTTCTTGCAGCACAGAATTTTTGCAGATTAGCCTGGCACTGTAATAGAGAGAGACACTGGTGAAAAGGTTTGTTACATCACAAGTTTTTTTTTTTTTTCTTTTAATCATCAAACGACCTACATACTTGTAAAATAAAGAATGTCTACCTATGTGACATGAGCAGGAACAATCTCACTAATGTCTATATAAAATATCGCCCAAGGAGAATAAGAAAATTCCTGAGTATGAAGCAGCCACATCAGCACATTCCCTACACCTGAAGCAGAAGGACGACACATTATGGGGAGTCTCCAAGCACCAAACAGCATTAGGTATGCATCGCCCAATCTGCTACTGCAGAGGCAGAACGGTTTTGCATAAAGAAGGGTGTTTAGGTGAACAGAATGATGCTGGCTGCTGAAACCTGTGGTTGCAGGAAAGATAATTGCATAATCTATGGCTGGCTTTAAGGGGGGGGGCATTCTTCCCACTGACTTAACTCTAGCAGAGACCTATTTTAAGGGTTCCTCCTGGGTAAAAAGGTTTGAGACACTCTGCTCTAGATTTAAAATGGATCTCCACCTTTTGATATACTTTAGTTTGTTTGGGCCAGCTTGGCCAAAATTTACAATATCCCTCAGTACCATGTGAGGCCGCTGGATGTGTGGTATAAACTGTATGTAGCTGCAGCTACATACAGGGTTCTGTGTTTGAGCCGAGACTTCCAGTCTCATACTCGGAACATAGTCTACCACAGCTGTGCTCAGCCATTCAAAGCGATTCATTCCCATCCATGAAGGTTGAGAGGTTGGCACATCATCAGCCTGCCTCTCTGACTAGTGGTGAAGCGCTCAACTTATAATTACCTAGTGAATACACAAATCATAATAATACAAATAATAATTATTATTATATAAAACTAGTGCAATATCTTCATACACATAACAAATATATATCCCTGGTGATATAGTGAAAACTTATATCTTTTAAACTGTGCAGAAAGTGAAAAAAATACAATAATTAAATAAATGGTGATGCCACACTGTGAAAATAATGGCAAAAGTGTTCAAAATAATGTCACTCCATGCTGCAAATAGTGCTTTTCGTGTAAATCTTGACGTGACTCCCCTCAATAGCAGAAATGCCACCTCACCTTCCAAATTCGACCCTTGCGGGTCACAGAGCCTTTTTATATATATCTCTCTGTTAGATGTCCTCCACTGCCTCCACCGACCATGATCCACCTCCAGGCAGTAAGTACCTCTCCAATTACTCCCCTCATGCACCGAACTTTGCCAGGTAAACCTCTCCTCCACTGCCACCCTCCGACCAAGTTCCTCCTCCAGGCAGTAAATATTATCCAATACCCCTCACACAATGGACTCAGGCTCAGAGCGATTCATATAAAACGATAAAACAGACCTCCATAGTGTAACATCGCTTTATTAAGCTAATCCAATACAGTGGAATATTGCACTCACATGTCCTCACAATTTGACAAGCAGTTTCCCATATGCTATGGGTGTATACAGGAGTCCCAAGATGGCGTCCGAACCCGGAACCGGAAGTACGTCACCCCTACGTCGACGCGTTGCGCCACTGTCACGTGGCTTCTTCAGGATACCGTATTGGATGGCCGCACTTCCTTTTAACTCCTCTACATAATCTACAAGGGGCGTGTACAATACCTCCATTTTCATGGAGCCCATTATACAGAGACAGCCGCGATCCGCCGCTGATTCCCCTAATTACAAACTCTAAAAGGGCATAAGAATTACCCATATATACGAAAACTACATGGGGCATATATATTCTCTCGTGGGACCCCCTGTATATAGGACAATTTGCTCAAAAATATAAACAACTCCCCATAAAAACCTTTTATTACACCACATAGGTAGATATACTAGACCCAAAAAACCCCATAAGTTCAATATTGTAATTGACATAAAAACACAATAAAAATCAGGGGATAAATCTACTCTTAATACTTCCCCTCCCACCTAGACATATCCATAGATATATCTAAATTCGTGTACTTACTGCCTGGAGGTGGATCATGGTCGGTGGAGGCAGTGGAGGACATCTAACAGAGAGATATATATAAAAAGGCTCTGTGACCCGCAAGGGTCGAATTTGGAAGGTGAGGGGGCATTTCTGCTATTGAGGGGAGTCACGTCAAGATTTACACGAAAAGCACTATTTGCAGCATGGAGTGACATTATTTTGAACACTTTTGCCATTATTTTCACAGTGTGGCATCACCATTTATTTAATTATTGTATTTTTTTTTCACTTTCTGCACAGTTTAAAAGATATAAGTTTTCACTATATCACCAGGGATATATATTTGTTATGTGTATGAAGATATTGCACTAGTTTTATATAATAATAATTATTATTTGTATTATTATGATTTGTGTATTCACTAGGTAATTATAAGTTGAGCGCTTCACCACTTATATGATTTGATTTCACACATCTTGCGGTATAAAGAACAGGTGATAGCAGCTTACTCACTAGGTTCTGTGGAGCGCAGGGGGATTTTTGTATTTTATTATTGCCTCTCTGACTAAGCCAGTCAGATGAAGGTTTGTATTCATTGATAAAATACATTGCTTACTCTGAATGGCTGAGCACCACTGTGATAGACTTTACTGTGTTCTGGGTATGAGACTGTAAGTCTCGGCTCGAATCCAGAACACAGTGCGGTATGTTGTATACAGTTTATACCGGACATCCAGCAGCCTTACAGGTTAGTGAGGGACAGAATTTGTTTGGGCCAAGCTGGCCCAAACAAACTATGTAAAGTATATCAAAAAGGTGGAGATCAGCTTTAAAGTAGTAATATAGTCTCAAAGTTTTCACCTTCATGCATTCTATGCATGAGGTAAAATACCTCCTGTGTGTAGCAGCCTCCCCCATTACTTACCTGAGCCCCCTCTTGATCCAGCGATGTCCACGAGAGCCTCGGTTCTCCAGGGACTCTCACTCCTGATTGGCTGAGGCAGCAGTGGGAGACACTGGCTCTCAATGTTGTCAATCACAGCCAGTGAGCCAATCAGGAGAGGGAGAGGACGGGGCCAAGCTGAGCATTGCGTGTGAATGGACACGCAGAGTAACGGCCCAAGAGTGCACCTGCTCGGGTGTCCCCATAGCAGGTGAAAAACATTTTAGGACGAAGGCCTATATGGCTGAAACGCATTTATTTTCACTGTAGGAATTGATTCTTTTAAAGTCTATTTGGCTGAAACACGTTTATTTGCACTGTTGGAACTGATTCTTTTTAAAAGGTCTATTTGGCTGAAACGCGTTTCACTGTAGGAATTGAAATTCTGAAGGACCCTCTGCACACTGGTATATACCCTTTCAAGCAGACTATGCAATAAATAGGGATATTTAGTTCACACATCTCCCCGTTGTGTCTTTTCCCCTATGCTAGCATTGTGTCCACAGTAGCATTTGCGTAGGCAGGGCAGAGTAGGACTGGACAGAGGGATTACTTTGATGCAGTTGGCCAGCTTAAAGCATGTATTGCAATATGTATGAACTAAATATCCCTATTTATTGCATAGTCTGCTTGAAAGGGTATATAGCAGTGTGCAGAGGGTCCTTCAGAATTTCTGGTGTTAATATGTGGTTACACCCCTTTAAGCACCTGATGGATAAATGCATGCACTAGCTGTTGGGATTTGAGCACAGGGATCTCGTTTGTTTCACTGTAGGAATTGATTCTTGTTAAGGCCTACTTGGATGAAACGCATTTATTTTCACTGTAGAAATTGATTCTTTTTAAGGCCTATATGACTGAAATGAGTTTATTTTCACTGTAGGAAATTCTTTTTAAGGTCTATATGGCTGAAACATTTATTTTCACTGCAGAAATTGATTCTATGTCTTCAGTAAAGTTCAAGATTTTATTTTAAGATGACTTGGTGCCGGACATTCACTTTCTACTAAATAAAACCCAACAGAGGTTCTAATTCTTTCCCACTCAATCCATACTAAAACCAAGTCTGGATAGCTACGACTTTGAACAAACTCATGGCAGGAAATGACATTGCAAACTTACATCCAACAGTACTGTATATAGGGTATCAGATTAGTCACGCCTGGCCATATAATCTTGAGTCCTGGTGTGATTTGCGTGTAATGAGGGAGGGGGGATCTGTTTGATGGCACCCCCGCTGGGCAGGCATGCACAGAACCCCCAGAGACATGGCTATGTGTCAGACCAAAGAATGACTGTGCTCACATTCACTAATAAGAGGATTCAGCAGCCCCCTTCCCAACACGTTATTAAAAGCTCAGACAATCCAAGAACGGAAACTGTTCTCACTCCCAAAATAAACATTGAACGCAGGCCTAAAATATCAGCACCTGCTGCCAGCTATGACACAGAGCCCTCCATTACCCCCACTCCCTATAAAAGGAGTCCGGTAGTCTACACGAGATACGAAGAGGCAAGCCTACACCTTGAGGGAACTGGTACAAAGGTCAAAATTACATATTGTACACCCTAAACCAGACTCTCTCAATGCCTTTACCCCTGAGGAACCCTTGAAATAATATTTAGATCTCAGGGAACCCATGCTAAAACTAATTCATCAGGGGAAGAATGCCCCTTACATTGGTGGCAGGTCAGCAGGAAGCTTAAGTCAGCCATAGACAGATCGAAATTTGGGCAGGCTGGTTGTACTGAAGTTGATCTATTGATCGATTTCATAACAACCATTCTGCCTGGTTTTTTTTTTGTATGATCACGGATGCTGCCTATAGCCAGCAGCAGTGATTACTGTACTCTGATGGCAGGGAAACCTCCCATTGTCACAGTAGAATAACTCAGCGGGGAGGATTCCCCCATCAGCACAGATTGTGTTGATGGGGAAATTGAGCGATTTGCATAGAATAATGTATGGCCAGCCTTCTATCAGCATTCAGTGGGAAAAACTACCGCCAAATTATGCAGATAACATCAGATAAGAGGTCAATCAGTTACAGGTCAAGGAAT